GTTTGGGTTGAAATAAGTCTAAATGGAGTTTTTGCATCAGTGATTGATTAGTCTTGTAACTTTTCCTACCCTCTGAACTGGTTCAAGTGTCATCCTGAGGTTACTAGATCTCTCTTTGTCTCTTCTGGGTTCATAATTGGTCTTAAACGTCCCTTTTTTCGTTAATCGTGACTTTATGTAAGCCAACCTCCAGAGCTCATCATCATACTGCTGTTGCCTCCCACAAAGTTGGAATTTCCAAGCCAGCTAGCAGCAACGACAACATCGGACCGAATTCCCAAAATGTCATTCTGCGTGATGAAGTTGACAGATTCCGCTTGTCATTTCTCATATTGACAGAGGGAACAGCTTTGATGGAAAATTGACGTCATCTTGACTTTATTTTTGGCAGCACATTTGCATGGGGCTTTAAGGCTGCTTGGTGCAGGCTGTCGCATTAACATCTCTCCAACTTCGAAATCCCACTCGGAGTCGTTTGATTGTTTTTAACTTTTGTTGTCTTGGCTTTCCCCCTTTGATTGTCAGAGCTGTCGGGATGTTTTAAGATGAGAATTTCACAAAATTGACCAACACAGGCTGCAGTAGTTGTCTTGGAGACAAGCCAGTGAGGAAAGGTTTACAAAAAGGCTTTCATTGCTGTAGGAGTAATTTTCTAACAAGGCAGTGAAAAATGTTTGATTCAACCTAATATCTAACGTCTTAAAAATTGTCCTAACATTTTTTACCAACAAGGGTCACAGCATTCATATTGTGTTTGCCACATCCTTTGGGGAAGAAACGTGAAGTTCTTAGAAACACAAAATCCAATTATTTTCAGCCCTGTTTCTTGATCTCTTCTGGGTTGTCAGAACTGTTTGTGTTTTCTTAAACATAACTCCAACAAAATGCACCTAAAAGGTTTTCAGTATCAACCTTGATGTCAAATACCAGTGGAAAGTTCTTAAAGCAATCACAAGGATTTTATAATTTTTGTCTTATCTTCTTAAAGTTTCAGGGTTGTGATTTGAGGCTACAAAGACTGTTGATGTTAGTTTGTTCTAGTATATCCATCAAAGGTTTCAGTCTAGGTTTAGTACATCTTTAGAGAAATAGTAAGTCATGCAAAAACAGCACTTGTTTATGCGTTGAATAGATTTTCACCCTTGAGATTTTGAAGACAGTTGGCAAATTTTCTCACAAAAAACTTCTACAAAATTGACCTCAGAGACTAACCAAAAACAAGTTAACAGTTTTTAGCTCAGCTTTATCATGTCCAATGGAAGAAAATGTCTACCAAAATAATCAAGGACATTTTTACCCTTCACCCTTTGGTTTGTAAAGTTTGTTGGTCTATGCCATATCATACAACGACTATACAACTGATCAAATGGAGTAACAAAGGCCTTAGCATTAAACTTAATGTCTAACCAATCCTCAGAGACCTTAATGTTCAATGTGATATATTATGTGTTATTAGTTGAAGATTATCCAAGCTCAGCATTCAGTCTGAGCATGGAAAAGTTTTTGTCCATCGCATTCACCCTGAAAATGTTTTTAAGTAAGAAAATAAATACCAGGTGAGAAACCAGAGACAAAGAGGGTTCAGAACATACACTAGACCTCTGCAGTCACCATCTAATTGTTTTAGAGGCAAAAGAGACCATATTTTTAGTTGCCTTGTATCTGACCTAACAAGGTTTTGTGTTAACAACTTCTACATTTTTAGAACAGTTATTTCTTATTGTAAATTTAACTCTAAATGGGACCAAATTTCACTAAATGTAGCCTACATCAAAGGGCATTGAAGAAAGCATATTATGAGAAATTGAGACCATGAAATCATGAGGAAAATATTTACTGAGGTTATAATCGACTTAGAGTACTCAGACGTATGGTTATTTTGCCCTCTGTCTCGTTTTTTGGAAAACTTTCCCCCTACTGGCAATTAGACAGAATGCAGGTTTAAGGCACTTTTGCATTTGCCCAACTTGTGCAACTCAAGCCTTGTTCACACTTGCACAAAACTGAAGTTTTCGGGATTAGCTGCATGTGTGAATGCAAACAGACAATTTTTTTTCACTCTGACTTCATCTAGTTTCTCCTGCCAGCTCCCTGGTATTTGTTCTGAAAGGAAGTCAGAGTGAGCTGATGTAAGAAGGCAACATGATGTTATCAGGAGAATTCACTTTGATCAGGTGGGAGGGGGTAATGACGTTAATTCCCAACGATTAGTGCACAACTATAGACTGTATGCACGCGACCTTTGTGATCTCCGTACAAGTTTGCCAGAATATTCTACTCCGCTTCTTTGATGATATTGAGATTCAGTCAACTATACATAGCATTTACCTCGCTATAATGAGGTAAATATTCTCATTATAGTGTTGTATAGCAGACTCAGTTGCTTCGGCCACCACTTCTCCGTTGTTCTTTTTATGTCACAACTTTAACCGCCCCCCTCTCCCGTCCAACAGGGATAGTCTCCCACTGTGACGTGCATGTGTAAACAACCTGTTCAGGAGGATTTCAGGGGCAGTCTTCCTGAAATTCTCTGGACATTTTCAGTAGTGCATACCTAAAAAACAAGGTAAATTTCTTATATACAGACAAAAGCATCTTTTCATTCCAAGTCCATCCTCCCCTAATCTTGGCTCAAGGCTGCTCTTCGCAGCACCATTGATAACGCAGTGATGGATCAAGATTCATGGGTTGGTGCCTTGATGACTGCATAAGTGATTCTGATGTTCAAATCAATAAACTAAGGAAATGGTTTGATACTTTTTAGACAGCTATGGGCAGCTTTTCTTCTTAGTTGATTGCAAAGTGCTCTTCAGGCACTGCTAGATTGAAATGTAACATGCACTCCGGGCAATTTAGCTTTGCACTTCTATTAACAGATAAAATGTCCAATCAAAATCCAGGCAGCAGAGGCCGAGATATCCTGACACTTACTTCCTGATATTGGTCAAGTTCCATACAATTTGAAACTGCTTTTTATTTTATTTTAAAATAACTATTAAGAACAAAGCAGGGTTAGTTTTGCCAGATAAAAAAAAATCTAATATGAGAGCAACAGAAGGCATATTACAACTGATTTGCAAATTGATTGGTTCTAAGCAAGTATACTGCTTTTGCCCATTTTATTGGACATGCAAGAATATCACTGATTGTCATTTCTTTTTACTGAATATGCTAATAGCCACTCAATTGTATCATCTTGAAGACACTTTTCAAGCTGTGATCTATTCAAATCTTGTTGTCTTTTGCTTTGTTTTCCACAGGCCTACGACACTAATCAACCAATTACAATTGCCAGAATGAGAGGAGAAGCTTTCACTGGAATCAATCCTCCATCAACTGTGCTTGGTCTTTCTGTCGCTCTGTGTCTGACTGACTAACGCTCCACTGGATAAAGACTTAATTGGCTCTGAAAAGACAGCCAGAACAATAAACAAGCAGAATAAATACGAATGCAGTCATGCTGAGAAGAGAGTGGGAGAAGATGAGCTAAGAACAGAAACCCTGTGGACATAAAAACTGGACTCTTTTTGCTGTTTTTCTGCAAAATCTTTTTGGAATATTTTCGGAAGAAGGAATCAATTTCCAATTTTTATTTGGACATTATATTGCTGGCTTTGTTATGTGCCTTGGATCTTTTGACAGGCAGATGGTTTCGCAGCATACATTGATCAAAAGCTTAAACAGAAGGAATAAGCTTCAGAATTTTAACGGAAAAGAAGCACAAATTTGATATTTCTCTATTTGTTTCACTTGCCATGGCCCTCCCAAAATCTGCTTTCATGCACCTTGCACATACCAAAATGTCTTATGTGAGCAACATTTTTCAGAATTAGGGCAATTAACGACTTCACGATTCACTCTTCAAACTGCAACCGTGCCTCCCACCAACCCCTCCCATCAGCCATCCGACCAATCATGGGCAAGCCTCTTAGCCGTCCCGGGTGTTTCAGGAAGAGCTCCTGCTGCCTGGAGAAGCATGGAGCTAGGGATGGGGGAGTGGGAGGACGACCTGGGGGAGTGGATGGGGGCTACGGAGATGGCTACATACCCCAAAGGTCCATCTATGATACCATGTGCATCAATCAACAAATTGACAGCCATCACCATCACCCTGGAGGGTCCGTAAGGAGAGACTGTGAGGGGAATTTTAGCTACTCTGCAAGCGGCTCCTTGAGGGTTGGCAGGCCTCAAGCTGACATGTTTGATCCCCAGCCTCGCTCTTTAACTCCGAACCCCTCCTTTGTGCGCCGACTGGACGAAAGAGTAATCTATGATTCATTAAAGCTTGCGGGACAGGAGGCTGATGTTGGTGGCTGCCATTCTCCAGGACATTACAACCGCTCAGTTTCTCCCTCTGTGTCCTCTTTCTCAGCGCCGGGAGTGTCCTCCTCCTCGTCCAAGAAACAACACCATCACCACCACTATCACCATGGAGACAGCACAAATAGCAGAGATGGCCGACAATCCTGGAAAGTGTTAACACCTCCAAAACACCTGGAGTGTATGGAGATTACTACATCTGAAATGATGGACAGAGGAGGTGGATATCTAAATCCAGGGCACTACCCTCCCACTGGGGGCCAATCCTCCTCTCTTACCTCCCCTCTAATTTCTCCCTTTTCTGGCTCACCTCTTTCTTCAGGCTACCATACACCAGTCTTTTTCTCCCCTGCCAAACCTCGCCCCAGTCAGACTCAGAGTTTGCGCTGCTCCCCGCCCCAGGTTGTTCAGCCAAGGCATTACTCCCAAACCCAAAGCCTCAGGCTGTCACCACCCCAGGAACTCCGAAGATCCCCTTACCGATCCCCACTAGTCCAACTGTCAGCTCATGACCTCGAGCAGGACCTGAGGGAACGAGCAGGAGGATGGGGGCGAGCGATGAGTGAGCGAGAAAGAGAGTGGGAGAGGGAGAGAGAAAGGGAGATGGAGCGGGGGTGGGCCCAGCGAGAGTGGGAAAGAGAAAGGGAGAGAGGGAGGCTGGAGAGGGAGAGGGCGAGAGAAAGAGAGAGGAGAGAAACATCCACATTTGGGACCTTTGGATATGGACGACCAGTTCCTCTTCGCTCCGAAAGAGACTCTGTGTTTTTAGAACCTGACCACGGTTTAGACACAACACCCCTGTTGCTCCCCCAGCCCTCACCTTCACCCTCCCCTTCCCCCAATGCCCCCAGAATGGGCACCTGCGCTGTGGGTAGGAATAGAGCCGGGTCAAAGGTTGGTCATGACAGTATAAGTGGGGGTATGGTTTCTAAATATGACAATGGGAATGTTGGTTTGGTTTTAGTTGACAGCAAATCTGGATGTGGGCCCAGGTTAGTAGGTGAAGTTGGATCTGGAAACATGCCAGAGGCTGATGTAAGGGCTTCAATACAAGAACACCATAGAGCTGAAAGTTGGAACAAATATGACAATGGATCTAGGGCTAGCAATAAACATGCTTCTGAAACAAGAATGGGCTCCCAGGTAAAAACAAGACCAGGGGGACGTGAGTTAGAAGGTAAGGTACAGTCTGGGATGGAGATAGAAAAGACAGCTCCGGCTGTAAACAGGGAGTCTCACAGGGGAGGGACAAGGGGTGGAGAAAATAATGGAAGGATCGCGACTAAACCAGAATATATTTCTGAGGTTGTACCTCCAACTGTGATAGACCATGACAACAAGGTTGTGCCTAGAGATAAAATTGACATGGGAACTGGACCAGGTCCAGGGATGAAACCAGAGGTGGAGACAGTTAAGGTTGAGGAAAAAGCTAGTTCACAAAAAGTTGAGCACAGAACTGGAAGTGAAGCTGTATGTGTAGCTAAAGTTAATAAAGAGATTGTTTCAGCACCAGAGTCCAAAATAGAGGCTAAAGTTGAGACAGATGTAAAGATTTCTCCCCCATCTCAGCCTGAGGCAGTGAAAGAAAATAGAGTTAGTACTGACACAGGGACTAAAGGTGAGATTGGAGTTGTCAGTGAAAGCCAGAACAGCAACCAGAAAACAGATAAAGCACAGATTAAAGACATTGCTGGTGATAAAACTGACACTACCTCTGCTGATCAGGCAGAGAAAATGTCTTTAGATTCTGAAAACACTGAATCTAGCCATGTAGAGAAAAGTTCCAGATCCCAGAAGTCCAAGTCATCCAAGTCCAGCTCCAGGACTCGACCTGGCACTGCCACAGGGCTACGACCAGGTGTTGTTGCAAGTCCTCGGCTGAGCAGGGGGCTTGGAGATCTTGAGTCAGCAGGCCCCCTGAAGGTATTGAGTCCACATGGCCACGGCGCATTATGGTCAGGAAGAGGACTGTTCGGCAGGGTGGGGCACTTCACAACCTCCCTATTCTGCCCCCACTCCCCTCAGTCCTCTCAGCATTGGAGAAGAGGCGCCCACATGGTCACCTTCACCCCCGTACTGGCCACTTCTCAGAAAACCCACTAACAACCTGTATAAATTCAACAAGTATGGTGGGACGATGCTCACTTAAAGAGCCTTCCCATGCAGATCTTGGACTTGGAGCCAATTTGGTGGGCAGGGCTTCCCTGAAAGAGCAGAACTTGGAGCACTGGCGAGTCTGCAGAGAGCTGGAAGAAGCAAAGAGATCCAGGAGCAAGGAGAAAAAAGCAGAGCAGAGTAAAGAGAAGGCTGAGAGGGAGGAGAGAAAGAGTAAAGAAGAGATCAGGGAAGAGGAAAGAAAAGAAGAAAGAGGCTCAAAGGAGGAGAAGGTGGGTAGGGAGAAAGAAAGGGTTGCTGTCAGTGAGGGGTTGGGGAAGGACACCAAACAACCAAAGTCAGAAAGAAAAGGGGAAGGGAAAGAAAACAAAAAAGAAGACATGAAAAAGGAAAAGGTTGTAGAAATACAGCTTGAAAAGATAGAGGACAGTGAAATGAAGATCAAGGGTGGAATACAAGACAAGCATGGTCAAGAGTTGGAAGTAGCTCAAATAAAAAAAGAATATGGTGAAATGGAAGGAGGAGAAGGAGAGGAAGGGATGGAGGGCTGGGATGATGTCCTTGAGATGGTCACCACGTTGTGGGATGAAGGCTGGGATAAAGGGGAAGCGGCAGCAGGAGAAGGAGATACAGACTCTTTCTCAGGATCCCTGCAGCGTTGGCCTCTCCTCCGGCCCCCAATTGGCTTTGGGGGCTCGCATCCCCCCTCCTCGGCAGCCTCAGAGCTCAGCCTGACGGAGATAGAAAGGAGAGCTAGGGAGCTGGACTCTGACCTGGAGCACCTAGACCTGTCTCAGCCCCAGCGGGACACTCAGGATGAATACCAAACACTTCTGGAGCCACAGAGGGAACGAGCTGACATGTACCAAACACATCCTGGGCCACAGAGGGAGAAAGTCCCTGCATTTACAGGTAGAAATACATTTTATTGATGTGTTTTTTTGTTATTTATGTTTTTAATTAATGCGTAACACTTAAATGATTGTTGGAGCATGTCATAAAAAGATTGTCATGAAACTTCTACTCGACCTATGACAGCTGCATCCTTAGCATAATACTATCCCAATCCTTAGACAATTGGACATCTTGTCTTAGAGCAGTGGTGGAACTTTTTCTGCTGGACTTCCCTTTGGTAGATATTATAATCTATAAATACTGTCAAGCCCCCCCCAACCCACCCATCAACAATTACATCAACTTGTATATGAACATATTTATATTGACATATAATTGATCTCAAACATTGTCTACAAAAACTACAGAATATTAGTTTAGTGTGTAACTGAAAAAACTAACTAACCCCTTTTAAAGAGGAAGCAACTAAATGTGAAACCATGACATGAAACTTCCAAATGTGTGATGCTTGGTGTAGATTCATTTTCAGCCTTGTATTTATCTGGAACTCCTCTCACAAAATGTACCATGCTTTGCTAGCAGTGGAAAACATGTGTGCTTTGTTTTTGTTCAGCTGTTCATGATATTTACATCATGGTTATATTTTTTCAGATGGATACATTTTTGTTTCAAAATTAAGACATTTTAGCTTTTAATTTCTAGTTTTTTGTATGTCAAGCGTCCTGGATGACTATACAACTGCCTGATACATGTAGGTCAGTGTAGCAGGGATTGGGGGTGGATGAAACATGAACTTGACCAAGGAGGAAGGCAGACTCAGGGCCATTACTCAATGTTGAGGAATCTGAAATGCCTCTGCAGCACCAACAGAGTACCAGTTTCATTAAGATGGTATTTGGACTTGCAGATAAGTTTTGATTGAGTCTGATTTGATTGATTTTCTAAGTCATGGTGCTTGCTGTTTGCATTTCATACGTCAGCTCTACCCAATGTCTATACTATTACTTCGATTGAGTAATCGTTGGTTACAGTACTATTGGAAAACTCCCACTACAAAACCCATGTCTGACAATTATTCTCCTGTTGACAATGAACAAGTTAACAACACCATTAGATGATTGAAAATGTTGATCTCTCTGCAGTGGTTAAATACACCTAAGCTTGACAAGGATGTGGATGAATGATGATCTTATATTCTCTGTTTCTCTCTTAATTATCTGAAATCTGTTCTTTTTTCTAGGGGTTGCGAGTAGATCGCAGGTCAGTTTGGAGCTGAGCACAATGGCCTCACCTGCTACAGACACAGACAGACATCCTGCTGACTGGTCAACCAAATCTGCTGGGAACTCCACTGTTGTTACAAGGTAATTTTATCAAAGAATTTGTGATTGCCCTGATTCAGAACTTTTCTGCACTAAATCTAGACATGCTTTTAGGGTCACTGATGGTTTATTTACATGGGAATACATATCTGATCAAACTATGTTTAGAGGTGGTTGTGAGTGCACAATGCCATTAGATCAAAGAGACATAAAGGCTTTTTGCACATGTTACTAAAGTTTGGGCTTTAATTAGGTTTGTGTGTACAAATGGATGAGTCAGCGTTGTTTTTTATTGCTCAATATTATATACATCTCATACTGCTAGAATAGCAGAGTGCCAGGCCTTTATTTTGGACTAGAGCGGACACATTGAGAAGTGTGTCACGGTGCATTAAAGAAGAATATAACTGATAAAACAGAAGTTATTCTGTGTTTCAGAACTAACACTGTGTTTTCTTTGTTCTGCCATGAATTGAATTTGAAAGAGAATGGCATCCATTGTATTCCAATACACTTAACGAATATGTTTATAAATATCTCAAATGTTTTGGATGTTTAGCAGTATTTCAACCCAAGTACACACAGTGGCTGTGTTCACTTATTAATGGTAATAGCTGCTTTTTGAATGGAGGCAAGTTCACTTCACTGATTGCTGTTTAATAGTTTAAATGCCTTCGAGCAACCATTTGAAAAAGCCACAAAATCGAAGTGCTCTAGAGACATTAACAGATCTAGGTCTTGATCATAAAGATAGGTTAGAGGCAGGGTTGGTAATTTTCTCCAAATACACTTTTTAATATGTTGGTTAAAATTGATGGTCCTGACAGAAATTAATAATACATGTCATCTGTAGCAGCCTGTAAAAACTTCGATCAATGTCTGCCATGAGGTACCCATTTGATGAACATCTCGCCTCCCTGCTCGTTCTCTACCCTTTGCGTGGACTAGCCCACACTGAGTCACCAATGACAGAGTTTATACTGTGAGTTTGTTGTTGGATGTTGTGAGTAGTAAAATAGTCAGTTTTTTTTTTTACATGTGTTATGATAAAGTTTATTGTTTCCTTACTGCTGAATGAGACATGAGACTACGTAGTTGCTACACAATGCAAGCAATGAGCTAGGCTTTTGAGGGGGTTGGTGTAGACGCAGCACTGAGGGAATGCTACTTTCAGTATCATAATATATCAAAATGTCCAACCCTGCCTTTAAGACAAATATAAACAGCATCCTTTGTAATCAATGGTAGAGAGATAGCGCATTGGAAGGCACAGGAGTTTAGCAATCTCATGGGGAGTATGGAGCAGTCATTTCACTATATTTTCTTTCTTTTCTAGCTCCATTAAGGAGGACAGCTCTCCAGACTCTAACCTAACATTGGAGTCCGACTCCAGTGGCATCTTCATGTCCTTATCCAATCAGAGCCAGGAAGAGGCCGGTTCTGACAGTGACCAGCAAATCAGTGGCTCTGACTTAGGCAGCAGTAATACATCACTGGAGAAATACGGTGATGAAGGAGGTCTAAAGGAGTGGGGGAGGGAGGAGAGTGCAGAGCTAGATTGGTGCTACCCATCACTCCTTAACACCTCCTTGCAGGAAGATACTGAAGGCAATGCTGAAAGAGAAGAACCAGGACGTAAAAAGATGGAGGGAGCGGAAGAGAAAAGCAAAGAAGAGACCGGAAGGAGAGTTGGTAAGATAGGAACTGTTTCAATCATTAGGGCCCCACTCAACCATGGCCACAGTGAGGTCTCCACAAATTTTAATGCCCCTCTAAGTGAAGAAATACCATCCAGAAAAAAAGTAACCCTCAAGAGAGAAGACACACCTCTCCCTTTATCTCCCTCAAAACAACAAATCAAACACCTGCTAGATCCTAATCAGAAGCCTATCAGAACCTTTGGATTGGACTGTGGTGACATAGATCCTTTTGTCCAATCAGACAGCTTTGTTTACCTTGCTGTGTCTGCAAGACCTGGCTGTGGTGAAGTCACCAAAGTGACAGAGGTTCCCACCCATGTTTTAAAAAAAGACATTGTACAGCAACATTATGATAGCATGAAATCAAATTTGAACCAGACAAATACAGAAGGGGATGTCAAGCCAACTCACCTTACAACACAAAAACCAGAGGAAGGAGATTTTCTTTGCACTGACAGCTTTGTCTACCTTGCTGCTCCACAATGCCTCCTACTGGGCCCTGCAGGAAGCACACAGTACAGCGGCAGGTATGTCAATTTTTCTTTTGTCATTGTGGCTTTTGTGCATTTAAATTATTTCGGTGTGGGGTCAGAGAAATAAAAAAAAGGCATTTCAAACAATTCTGGTAAATTACCTATTGATCTATCGATACATCCATTTTTCATTTCTACGTATCTTGGGCAAGGTTGTCGTGGCCAGACATCTTTTTTTCTAGCCATGTCTTCCAGCTCTCCCTGTGGAGTACCAATCCCATAAGGGGGAAGAGATACTTACACCTGATTTGATCCCAGATGGATTTGCCTGAAATACCTCAATACAGAGGTGTCCATGAGGCTTACCAGTCAGATTCCTGACCACCTCAAGTTCAATTCAATTCAATTTTATTTGTGTAAATTGTTACTTTCAACCCAACAGAGCAGCCTTTCTGCTTCTTTATGGTGTCTCACTTGTCTATAGGGTTGACACCACCACCGGCTATCAGTCTAGTAATTTGCTTTGTTTGTTCATAATAAAATACTAGCAACAAATGGGGATGGTTGGAATGTAGAATGGCCACTAAATTTGACAACTCTGTCAGGCTAATCTCCCTTTTCATCATGACAATACAGTACAGCATCCATATTATTGCTGATGCAATTCAGTTGAAGCTTGGGTCAGCGCATGGTAAGATGCAAAGAATGCATTTGGCCAATGTTTCAATCCTCCATATTGGAGGTGGCTGTGTTGTGTTGTGGCCTTGAGATTAGACAAAGGGGGTCCTAATGCAGCATACAGGTATGAGAGCTGAATGGGTTTGGGGGAAAGAAACAAGGGAAAACATGGAGACAGAGCCCAGGCTAGTACGAGCAGGGACGGCCGCTACTGACTAAAGCTGGAAACAATGTCAGCTGCTGGTAGGAAATAATGACCAAAGGTTTGACATTGGCACCTGATGAGTAGGCCTCATTGACTTCCCTTGTCCATGAATTCAAGGTGGACCAAGCTGGGAGAATGTCCCAATGAAGTGATCACATATAACATCTGGGCTGCTAATCTTATCTTTATTCCCCAGGGAGTGCTGTAAGACATTGTTAGAGGAAAACGCATCAAGTCAGTGTAACACAGACCAAGATCCCAGCCAGTACACCCAGGTAGGGCCCAAAGAAATACCCAACTTGGGCTTAGCCAATTTTGATCAAAATTGCATTAGTAGTCTCACATGGGTTAGTCCAAAAGACTTGATGAAGGACCCTTGAGAGCCTCCAAAATGGGTCAATATGGGTAGTAAGGATACTTACTCGGGACCAACGCAGTACCCATGTATACTGTATAAGGTATGCCTATTTCTAGGCCACATAAATGCTCACATGAGGCCAAATCAGGTAAATTTAAAAGCCTACTCTGAGTCCATGCTCAGTTAAGGCATACCTAAGTATGTAAAGCCCCCCTTGGATGTGCTGGCTAAGTCGAGCAGTAAATGGATGGACGGATGGATGGATGGATGGATGATTGGATGGATTGTCTTCACAGTACTGCAGGGCTCAAATTGTATAATTCCCAAATCAACAAACTTTGTGGTGCTGTTGAAACTTCAACATTTCCTTAGTTCAATATTTAACTCAGTTTCTTTCTGTTGTAATTTTCCAGGGAGTCAGACTCAGAGAGTTCAGAATCTGGCGCAGCTGATGTGTCAGTGCTGGGTTGTGGATCAGTGGCAGGGGATAGTGACTGGGACTCAGACTTGTCGGACTCTGATCCTAGTCGCTCCTCAAGAATCTCTGCAGCTGCTAACAAATCTGGTGGCATAGCTCCACCCAAACGGCTGCCAAATGAACCGGACTGGGACATGTTAGGAGACACCCCAGAACCCGAAGTGCCGAGTGAGGTTTTCACAGGAGAGGACAGAAACAACAATGGGGAAGAACAGAGGGTTACCGGGGTCACCACCATGGCAGGGGCACAAGCCATTCCCAGGGCAACTAGGGCTGTTACTACGCAAATGAGGCAGTCGACAACAGTTGAGTCGTCAACGTCTAAGGTGACTTGGCAGTTTAAACCAGCCCAGAGATCAGTCTGCACAGGGAGCAGAAAGGAGAAAGACAAGGAAATGACATCATCAAGGTTCACAGAATTTGGTGGGGACGATAGACCTCCCCCTTCATCTTCATCTTCTTCATCCTCGTCACCCTCCTCATCCTCCTCTGGTTGATTTGTGAAGGACTTTTTTTTCCATCTTCTTGGAAGGAGCTTTCATTGCCTGAAACCCGGATGATTGCACAAAGGTAGAGAAGATCTTAAATTTATCAAAAAGAAACTGATGGCTGGAACCACTACAGCTTTTTTCGCCTGTAGATTTTTGAATCTTTCATCAAGCTGCTGCCATTGCCTTTTTACAACCTTTTAAAGGCTGCGTAAGACTAGTTTATCGTTGCATTTTCACAGACCAGTCTAATCAACATTGTTCATACATTTTAAGACAGTATGAGACTCAGGCTAAACAGACAACTTCAGGTTGAGATTATATGGAATAATGGCCTATGCTTGAACACTTAGGCAAGATATGCTGTCTGGTTTTTATCATTGGCCATATTTTGAAATGCAGGGTTGATTTACTAGTTACACACTCACTTTATTCTATTTCTAACTATAAATATGACAAGTTCTTTAAGTTTAAAAAAACATCATCATTATTATTGAATGTACCTTACAGGACATACACAACTATACACAACAAATTCACAATAAAACAGAACTCAAGTAATTGGCATTCTTAATTGGCTATGACGTAAGGATTTAAACAGTACCACCATGTTGGACTTGACAGAAAGTAGTCAGAAAGTTAGAGAAACTAATTTGAGACAATCTCCGACATGTGCTGATGTTTAATGACCCGACAATGTAAATTTGACTCAGGCCTTCTAACATATAACCTTTACTTTTAATGTTATGCCTTTCTTTTACACCCAACCCTAAACCTTACTTCTTTATTTAAACATATATATACTTTAAGAACTTAATTTTAAAAACTGACAGAGGTCAAACTTTACAGTGTACAATGTATTTTATAATCACATCCAACTTTAAAATGTATTTAACAGTGTGTCAATAATATATTTTAAACTTTGAGATAATTATAGAGCGAATTATACATATAATGAATGTGGAAACCGGAACAAATAATGGAGGGATGTTAGTAATAACATGTGAATGTTTTATTTATGAGATAGATTTGTGAATGTAATATTCGAGCAATATGCTATATCCTATGTTTCATATGTGAAAGTGTTGCCTGGGTGATGTACATAATAACGGCTGGGTTTCATTTTATTTATACAGCCAAATACTATTTGTTAATACAGTCTTACACCCATTCAAAGGTTATATGTGTAACATTTTCAAACATCAAATCATCATCAGGTACAATTACTCTATACAATGAGGCCACTGTTGAGATGATTGATAGCCTTTGTCTCACACCAGTGTTATTTTTAGAGCTGGTGTTTTCTCTAAAGATTTAGCTCTCCCATAATCCCATCTGTGGCATCTTTACTGAAGAGGATCAGCATGAGGACAGGTTGAGCCCTGATTGTGCTTAAAGTGAAAACAAACCAGGAGATGTCCCTTTAAATCCTCAGTTATAGCACACACTGTAATATGCAGTGCACAGGCTGTTTGAACTGCCAATCAACCCAGCAGTGGTCTCACAGTTGATTAATTACAGACATGTCTTACAATTAATGTGGTAATTATTTACTGATGATAAAAGTGATGCACATTACACTTTTAAATGAGAGCACAGTGATATCGGATTTGTCATCCTTTTACAAATGTTGCAGAGTCAAAGATGGCAGGTGAACAAGTTATTGTCACTAACACAATAAGGGTTCGTGTGGTTATGGGGGCTGTGTGGGAGGTCATGGCCTGACGGGCAAATTGCTTCCGAAGCAAGTTGCTATTTTAAACTTGCACTTAAATTTCAAAGTAGACATGTTACTGTTTGAGCTATGATACCTTCAAGGCAATGTCTCTTAGTGTGTCACAAGTGTTGACAGTGGAGGTAATGCCACTGGAATTTGGAGGTTGGAATCTATCGTGGCCATTTCTTGATTTAGATAAGTGGGGTGTGAAGCTGTGTTTTTTATTTACAAAATAAGAACTGTTGCCTTGTGCAGCTTTAACTGTTTTACATGAACTGTGAAATTCTCTGCCAGTCCTTGTTCTCGGTAATGAGGCTCAATGTAAAACCAACAGGATTTGGCAGGGCTGAAAATGCACCTGTCAGGTTTAGCGACTGATTTATTTCTGGTTCTTTTGAACACTGATTTACATGCACATCCACAGAGGTATTAAGTGCTCCATTAGCATGTCTGTATTTTTGAGGGGCTGCAGGATTGTCAGAATGTCTTCAGAGTTGAATGTTAATCAGGACTGAATTAGTGACAAGCAGAGGTGGCTGCTTTTTATTCTTAACCATGCTTATTATTTTTAACATTTCTTTTCTTGATATTTAATATCCACTTGCACCTAAAGTCAGCAGTCTCAAAGTATAAAAAGTGGGCTGAGGGGACTTTTTGGCACGGCCAATCAAAATGTTTAACGTGAGCACAAGTTTGCTGTTGGGACCCCTTTGGAGCCCCCATGGAAGGAGAACCATACTAATAATCCTGTGCTGGAAAAACACGACCTATCTACAGGTTTCCTTTGTCAGTTTTTGGTAATATGAAAAAAACTGTTACGCTTACGGATTCCATTTACAAATAACCAGCGTCCTGTCTCTAACAATGGGCAGAATTAATTGATGATTGTACTTTTTTAACTACATTTTCTCTAAAAATTCACATAGAAATAAAAAAAAATAAGTATGAAATGAATTGAGCATGCCCATTACATGTAGCACAACCTGTAGGTGAGTAAAAATACCCCTCTTTATGCAGGGGTTGCATGAAATATGTGTTTGCACACACACATATGGACAGTATCCACTAATCATATCTACTTTAACTTTAAAATGTAACACAACAAAGTGGAAACATTTAAATATGTCATAGTGATGAATTAAAAGTGCTAACAAAAGAAAATGTGCAATACTGAAATGTTAAAAAAGTTACTAGCAGCTTGTGCGACTGAGCAGGTTGATTTCACCATAAGTCCCAATCTGACGAGCAAAAAGCCAATTTAAGTTTACGCTTTATGGGTGGCACCAGGGGTTTCCAATCAGATTTCAAGGTGTCCCATGCCAACCCTCCAGACACGCTCCTGGATGTTGCATCTAAGTCCAGCCATGAGTCAAAAAGACCCCATTTCATTATAACACTTTTTTTCTCCATCTATGGTACACCACTTTTGATTATTTTTTAATCAGGAATCAAAAACTATATTTTCCATCTTTTTAATTCAATTGCTACGTTAACCATTTTTAGTTTTTGGTTGCATAGATAACACTCGCTCCAAGCTCTTTGACAAAGCCTGTCTGTTTTTATCAAGACTTTAATAACACTTATTAAACACAGCCCAAACCTCCATACTTTATCTGATCACCAATGGTTAATCTACACCCTGCTGCCAATTACAAGTCAGGAACTCCAGTGGCCATGGGCTAAACTTTAATTATTAACCCCTTTACTGCTTTTTTGGGCTAGAAAATGTGTACAATGCAAAACTGCAAAAAGCATTCTAATATTAATTTAATTATCGTAAAACAGTGAACCTGAAACTAGCCATGTGAGGCATCCAGACTTCAATTTGGGATTTAAAAGTATAAAATGGATTTTTTCTGTCAGCTGCATGCCTTCATTTTCTCTCTGTATTTGGAAGTAGCCAAGCTCACAGTGTGATAATCTGCAGTTTGGACACATACCACCCACATTTCACATATGAGCAATATAAAGAAATGAAGCGGGTGAATGTGTTATGAGAGACCTAATTTTTACAGAGGTATTTTTATTTTATCTCTTTGTTTGTATTTTAAAGATTTAATGCATGAAAATGGCTGAAGATCAAGTTAAAAGGAGCCAATTTGTATCCTGCAGCTCCACAGTTGACAATGTTTCTTGTATCAAATCATTCTAGCTATGGCATCCCAATTTTGATCATGTATGGAAAAGCTCTGTTTGAGGCTGGCTGTTTCTTTGAAATGGGAAAAGGCCACTGCATTTGTAAAGCCACCTGGACTAAATGTCAGTTGGTCCACATCGCCTTGACGTCACACGGACTCTAGTGGCTCTAAAAAGGCTTTTTACATGAAACTGTTTATTGAATGTGACCTGTGTGGATTTTTTTCTCCAATGTATTATACAATTGGCATTATTATGTGTAGCACTTGAAACATGCTTTCTATTGGATAATGACATATTCAAACCCTGCTGCTTTTCATGTCTGTTGGAAGGATTTTTATGTCCAGGTTATGAAACTTTAAAGTTCACCAATTGGACCAAATGAGGTGAGTGTACATTTTTATCAAAGAAATCTTTGATTTGCTCGCATCAAACTGTGGTAAGACATCTAGTTTCACTGTGACATACTGAGGAAAAATTACTGTACACATCTTTTGTAAAAAATAAAACAAAAAATCCAGTAATACCAGGCCATAATACTTTGCTGTTCATGTTAACGCTGATCACTGTTGAAGCTTAGTGGTGATTAAGAACTAAGACCTGAGAGATTTTCTTAAGTGGAAATTCATGATTTATGTAAAATCTTATTGTGTGCTGTATTCACAAGCCTTGTTGAAACGCATTAATGTACAAATAAAGACTAAACTTGATGGTGTAATGTGACTAACCTGTTTGTTGTTCAACTGTTTTGACCCTGTTAACCTTAACACTCAGAAAGTAATGAGCCAAAGAGAATGATATGTTAATAAGCACCTTAAAGCATCCACAATCTTTTTCAATATCAATTAAAAATGTCTGTTTCTGTAACTTTCCCAAAATTGGGTTTTAATTAGTCGGGGTAGATATTCACTAGGAACACTTTCAACTATTTCCAAAAAGTCGTTGCATGAAAGTCATATTCCAGCAGAGTATACGCACAGGGTTAGCTTAGTTACCGGGGGATTGGTGACCGGTTTTGAGTGTTAAGCGCAGTTTTGTATTTTTTCTGACGCAGGATTGAAGTGCAAGCCAACGATAACCTATTTGCAATCATGTTATTTTAGTATCTGAGGAGGAAATTCTATAATGAGATGGCAATAGCTAACAGTACAGAGCCTTTCAGAACAAAGAGAGGCAATCTCAGCTAACTTACAGTAGCATGTTTACGCTAACTGCTTACTTTGAAATGGGAATTTATTTTTTGGCACTCACCAGCCTTTTCAGATTGCAATTGTGCAACGACCCCCACTGACACTCTGCTTTTGTACTATTTACATTGCATCCACGGCATGTGTATAATTGGTGTGTTTTTAAATTGCTCTATGGCGTTGCAGAAACACAGGTACCTAGGTAGGCACATCTGGTACATAGGTACCAGATGAGGTCGGGTGGTCAGAACAGCTTGGGGTCCGGCGCCAATGCTAGTGAGGTTACACAATATGATTGGCTGTACTTCTGTAGCACACTGTGATTGGCTGTTCGTTGAAAAGTTATTGATGTAGCTTTTGAGGGTCTTCAGATTGAGAATGTGGATGAATTCTATGATCGAATGGAGAATTTCTACCATGAAATACAACAGCAGTCAAAACCGGTGTGAACTGTCATGTGTTTTGGACACAAGAAGAAGTTAGAGCACAGCGTGCATTTGATGTTTAACGAGTGAATCATGTTGAACAAAGGCTTACTATCGGCCGACCTGTAGGTATAAACATTGAGATATGTTCAGGCAGGGACTCTAATCAGTCATGTCAACTTTAAGCCAGTTTTGAAGCTGTGTGTTTGAGTTATAACATCTCCTCGTTCAATCTTTCTCTCCGACATACAGCCAATCACAATGTGCTACACCATCATACAAACACCGGTTGAAGGACACTGAGCAGATCAGACCAACAGAGCACTTCTTGTACCAACACTGGCTCCGACGTCATACGTTGTCACCATCTCCCCTGTTATATCTGTTACTACCTCTCGACGTCCATCCGTTCTGCCTCCGTGCATTATGAGGTTTTACAGGGAAAATATTCCGCCTTGACCTACATGACCGGCTACCTAGCTGAAGGACATAAGTGCGATGTGCGATGGTTGATGTCTTAAGCCTGAGGATAAATACAGGCCCTCTGAGAACAAACTATGTTGCTATATGTATGCTAACTTTAAAATACATACAGGTTTTTTTGGGTCATTAAAATAATGTTAACAATTGTTTGTGTGAGGCAACCATAAGGCTGCAGGATTGAAGCGCACAACGTTGATGACCTCTTTAAAGCATTGTTTGTTTGTGAGAGAGTTTAGTGATAAACTAGCTAACAAAACAAAGACTTCTGAGAACAAATAGAAGGAAGTCAGCTAACTTTGCATGTGAATGATAACTGCTAGCAATGAAAAATGTAAAATAGCATTTTTGCCACTTGCCATTCAGTGAACAAATTGATTAAAAAATAATCATTCAGGCAATCGCAAGATAGTCACATGCAAACTATGTGGCTAGTGACAGCGACTGATCATGAATACTGAGCGCTGTTGTCTATTTGTTAGCTTCAGGAATTTAGTGCAAAAAACTATAATGATCCTTTTTCAGCAGTGGTTGTTTAACGCCTGTAGAGGAAGTTTTGTAATATGTCAAATTGCTAACCCTGCAGAGCAATTGTGAAAAAAAGAGGGGCAACTTAGCCAATGCTGTATGCTAACAGCTAACTTTTGTATCGACACCAAACCAAAACAATCCCAACAGGAGTCCAACTTCGTTTCCCAACAAGTTTATTCATACACTTAAAATCTGATGTTAAGCACTGGTGTCACTGGTGATTTGGCATAAGACCAGAATACATTTTCCAACCTATGTTACAAGAACTATTACCAAAGCTTCTCCTGAGTGTCTTTATGAAAACAGTATATTTCTCAGTCACACACACACACACACACACACACACACACACACACACACTTACATGCAGCCTGTGATACCATCTGTGTATTAGTACATGTTGAATAAGGAGTTGTGTCAGTAATGTAGGTCTGTCCATCTATTTAGGGCTGATTAATTAGAGCACTGAGAATAAGGCCAGAGAGAGAGAGAGAGAGAGAGAGAGAGACTACATTTATGAATACTTTATCTATGTGCCACTTCTTCAGCCACCGCGGGGACTGTGGAGATTTATTGGGCCAGATGACACAGTCTGTTTGTCACATAGTCTGTAAAAATATACCACCAGATTTACTGTAATTCTTGAACCAATTTGAACAAACTTTGAGGATCAGTGCACTCAAAGAAAGATGGGAGACTGGATTTTTGGGTAAAAAATAAACACATAGGCTGTCGTTTTCATCGCTCTCCTACAATGAGGTGATTGTAGACATGTAGCTCAAAGTAGAGATCACTATTTTCTCTCTATTATGCCTTAAAGCCGCAAGATGTGCGTCATCAATAACTCCTTTGAGAAATGCAAAGAAGGTCTTTTAAAAATGCAACACAATGAGCTGCACTGAATGGATGTCTTGGAGAAAGATAATTACAAGTTTTGATCATTTTCGTGACTCATCTTTTCAGAAAAATGAATATAAGCATAGAAAGTTTTTGTGTTTTCATTACAAACTCACCAGCGGATTATAACCGACCCAGGCCTTGCAGTGAAATGACACTTTTAACAATGCTGCAGTCTTGTTAACCCTCCGTGTTTTTTTCATAAAAGCTTCTTTGTAGGTGTTTTTTAGACAAGAGGAATTGAAAAACGAAAGCGAAAGAAAAAAAATTTTATGCCGCATCTTCTGCACAAAGTCGGTGCATAAACACAAATTGGGCAAAGACTCAAATTCACAGAAGTTGTTATTTTTCCAACTCAGGCGAGATTTGTTGGGCACTGTGTTTTCTAAGTGGGGTGCCGTATAAGTACTATCTTTTAGATTATAGTTTAATCTCACAAATGAGACAATGGAAAGATGTGCAGATTATTTTAAGGGTCATCCCTTTGTTCCCTCAGGTCTACATTTGCCCAGCATCAGGGCTGGCCCTTCTATAATGCATGTTGTTGCAACCCCCTCCCTCCTCCCCCAACCCCATCGTATTTTATGTTTTGGATATGCAGCCTTGTATTCATTGCTGCAGTAATACTGAGGGAACATTGACACGCTCCCCTGACAGCAACTCATTCGACACAGTCGAGATGTAAACAGTTTGTACCGGATCCAACACTAAAGCTTTACTTGACAGCAGACTAAAAATAATAGTGGGTCCAACCACAGTGGATCTACATGTACCATGGCCCGGGTTGTTTAAAGATTGAATCTGGAGGATGAGATACCCTGACTTTTATTCTTGTATGGTTAAAGTTCCAAAGACAGAAGTTTCTACACTTCCCTGTTCGATCCCGTCTCTTCATTATACTTTCCTTTCCTTGTCTAACCAGCTGACATCCCCAATTTGTAACTCAGACTCTGAGCTCTTTCTTGATTGGGCCTTTTTTCTTTTAATAACACTACAAAAAGGTTCCTCTGGACAAGCTGCTTTCACACTAACACGTAAATGGCCCTTTATGAATAAAAATAGTTTAATCCATTTGCAAATGAAGGTTATTTGTAAAGTTAAAAATGTGTTTGTTTATCGTTCAGAAGCTTTCATACGCATCCTTCGGCCTTCCTGTAGGGGGGCGGAGTGCACATTTTAATTTATGGTTACATTCATCAAATGATCCTACAATGTGTTGTATTAGACACATACATTTTTTCATCTTAAAAGTAGGCTGTGTACTACAGTATACAATAATACCTGTGTGACCAACTCATAGTTTTCAGTCAAGTGACATGGCGAGGACAAAAATAGTTGAATAAAGTGGCCACCACCATTGAACACTCTGCAGAGCTACAGCTCAGGCTTGTTCATTTTCCATATCTTTAAAACAGCACTATTACATCACCTGACAACCACAGATCAACTGAGAAGATAAACTGCAAGTTTTGGCACTGTTACCCTTATTCCTAACCTTGTACAATATTTAAATCTCTTAAAACCTTCAAGTCCTTTCCAGAACAAACAGGCTGGGTCAGTAAGGCTGCTATTTGGGAAGTGAAGGTAAGGCAAGACAAGTTTATTTAAATTGCACATTTCAGCAACAAGGCAATCCAAAGTGCTTCTAATCAAGGCAATAAATGATTCATCATCAAAGCATAGGTGAAGCTAATTAGCTTAGATTAGCTAGTAAATGTTAGCTATCAATATAGTATCAGAATCACTGTCGGCTGTCACTTTCAGTCAGTGTTCATGGGCAGTAATGTTCGTTAAAATACAGTTATATTTAAATTAAGGTACCACAGCATTTATAGCAGGATTAGAAGAAGTCCATCTCCTGTTCCCTAAAGCAACAACGGAGCGTTTAATAATAATCTCCTCCTCTCTGGGTTTTCTTTCTCTGATGGGATTTCGTAGAACCTGAGCTTCTCTCCTAATTGGCTAGCGCATTGAAATGAACAACAACTAACTCTCTAATGTTAAAAAAAATACAGAATAAAACTGGTTAAAACATGTAGGGGCCACTGAGACCAGCAACCTCTTGCTGTGTGCTGCAGTAGGAAGCCTTTTTGTCAGGCCAGGTGGGTGCTTCCACAAGTGTTTGACATCACGTGAAGACAATGAATTCACCAGTATACAATATCAAGACGTGCAAAAGTACTAAATTCAAGACAAAAAGTGA